TTTTTCCTTTTTCTTTCTTTTTTTTTGAAAAAAAAGAAAAGTCCCAAATACAGAAGTGATGAATTAGTCGACTCCATTAATTGTAGCCTCTACTAGACGTCGGCCTTTTGATTAACGTACGTCTTTCAGAAACCGGCCAACGTGTGTTTTGGGTACACAGGCGATTAGCTAACACTAAAAATGTGGTTGGAGAAATGTACTAAATGCCTATATATTACAAGGAAGGCAAACTGAGAATTGGTTGAGCCCCCTGGTGACAATATTGGAACAAACGGAACAAACTGAAAAAACGTAACGTGTGAAGTGAGACAGGCTGATGACACCGGATAACCGCTGGGTTAGCTAGTGGATTGCGTGATGCTGAGTGCAATATCAATGAATCACATTAGTTAAGTAGGCAACACAGCAAGCGCAGGTAAAAGCCCATGCGTCCGTTAATCTGTCTATCTACATACTACTAAAACTCTGTGCCTGTTTGTTGAGTGGCCTTTTGAGTTGACTGGATTGGGCTCATTCTTAGTGAGTCGATAGAATTTCGTCGTCGTTAAAAGAACTATAGGTAAAGTGCAGTCGATATTCTTTTCCGGTAAAGGTCCGTTCTTCTATCCAAAAAGTCCGTTATTTTGGCAAATTGCTTTTTCTTTGGCGATTTTTGAGACATATCATATGAAAGATAAATCTAAACTTGACCGTGCCCCTTAGCAAACATTATAAGAGGCTGATAAAATAACAACAGAAGGTTAACGGGTTAGTAATATCGGAAAAGGCTACTCTGCCTTAAGTATTCGGAAACGCGAAGTATTGTTAGACCGTTACAAGCGAATCCGGCGGATTTAGAAACTGAACAACCCTTCAACTAGCTGGGCTATAATGACAACTATTAATGATAATGGGATATAATGATAATAAAGTTTTATAGGTACTCTCCTTAATTTTTTGCATTTCCATATGTAATTTTTTTATCCATAAATTGATAGTGGGATGTGCTTGCCCACCAAGTGTCTTCTTTAGGGTACAAAAACCCCGTAATGACACAGACCTAAATTAGGAGGATTTCTTGTGTTCTGGGCGATACCACTCTCTCGCCTGATCCCTCTCCGACTGGCGGTAGAGATTAAATTACTGCGTACTTCCAAAATGATTTTATTCTCAAACTTCGCCGGATTCGCTTGTAATAATTTTTTAGTCTTACTTATCGTACGAACCTTACGTTCGCCTGTAGGTGAACAAAGCTGTGCAAAATGCAAACAATTTTTTTGTAAACAGTTGTAGTTTATTGTAGCTTACCAGGATCTGACATATTACCACGTTAGTAATATAACAATACGTTTTTCGAATTGTTATGTAAGCAAAAGTAATCGGTAAATCACCACCGGTTGCTAAAAAAAGGGGTCTATAAAAAGTTCATGCTTCTTTTGTATATCTTCTATATAACGAATGCATTCTTTTCTCCCGCATGTTTTTTTAACGATCTGTACAGCTTAGTGTTTTTAGTGCGATGTTATTATAATTATTAGGTATATGTTGTTAGAATTTGCAACGATACTGGCTAGCGTCAATAACAATTACCTCCCATGATAAAAATGTTATCGATATATACACACGCTATTACGCTATTGTGTCATACAAATAGTTTTTCCATGAATTTTCGGTTACAGATAATTAGTTCCGCACACCGTATGTAATCTGACTTCGATTGTTTTCTTGTATTCGGCCGCACCTATCGGCGAACTATCTCAGAACACGTTCGTAGACGATGGCTGTAAGGGTAATCCGGTTTAATTATTTGGTGGACAAACGAAATGTTGAATTTCATTCGTCCACCAAATTTTATTCTACCTTCTAATTTCATTAAGTTGATCACTGTCTACCATCACTTATCCAACTATATAATCTAATAAACTTCATAACTAAATGCACTTCATTAGATCATGATGATTTATTTGCCAGCTACGTACATATTTAAATTGCCGATCTTTTCCTGCCTAATAAGGGAATATGCTTTTGCTTATTTTTGAGATTTCGCCTTCAAACTAAACGATTCGGTCTTCCAAGCCGCTTTCATGGCTCTAAAGAATGCGCGGGCTATGTCGGCATGTACGTCGTACAAAAATGTTTATAGGATTACAAAGCAGAAAATATTGACTGCAAAACCTGCGTCACTTTGCTTAAGCCTGATACAAACTGAGTGTAAACACTAAAATGGTTTCATACGCAATTTAATGTCAGACGAAATCAGCGATAATACGAAATTTTCGTGTAAAAGGCTATACATATGAACTGATTTTTTTTATAATAATACCACACGTAAGTGTAGCATTGTTATAAAAAACTAGAAAACAAACTAATGTAAACGATAAAAATTCACCTTGCAAAAGACTACAAAAAATAATTGGAAACTCTAAGAAACTTTTTCAAGGATAAGTGAAACTGAAAGTAGGGTTTACGTATTTGCTGTTTAGGTAGCGAGGCAACCTCATGGACAAGAGATGTATCTCAAGGGAGACCATGTTGGTGTAAATTGGACAACTGAACATTTACGCTTCGTAGAGAAAAATGTCAGGACAACTACGCACTAAGCCAAATCTGATAAAGCAAAGTCGATCAGTTCACGACAATTAAGTATTGCTAAGCTTATTATTAATGATGTTATTTATAATTATTTATTATTTACAGGAAGCGTACGAAAAATGTCTAATTTGTACATATTTAGCGTGTAGAGAAACTAAAATCTTGTATACGCCGTTCTGCTTATTTATTGTTCCTTTACAAACACGCATTTTTCGGTAAATCAATTCAACGAATCAACAAAAGAAAATGAGAAGTAATAAACAGAATAAAACATATGCTTTTTTTTTTTTATCTCTACATAAGGATTCATTGGCTATGACAAAACAACTTTGTTCTCAAAGAACAACAGCAACAGTAAGCGCAAATAAGTTCATGCTTTAGCTTTTTACTTAGGCATCGCTAACCTATCAGTTAGTCCTTTTATATTTGAGCACATTTCTTGCTACGTGTTCGGTAACAGCAATAGGCTAACTGTCTTTTCTCGCTCGGTTAAAAAGATCCGCACACACACACAGACACACACACACACATATACACAGATAAAAATCGAGCTTCATAACGCACAATATCCGTAACTAGCCACTTTTAGAACGTTTCTGATTTTAACCTTTTGTTCTGTACAATTTTGTTGCAGTATTATTCTTTAGCAGCAACTATAAGGCTTAGTTTTGTTGCTTTCGTTATAGGAAGAGAAAAACTAGGAGGAAAAATTCTCGCAAAAATTGGCTTCTTTCCAAAAATTACTGAGAGGGCGTCTAATCGATACACTTCAATATCAATGAGCAGCATGTAATGCATTATTTTGATTAATTAATATCTTAAATTGTCTTTCTCAAATGCGTAAAGTACTAGGCTTGAGAAGTCTTTGATTAATTTTACAAACCTGAAAAACAAGTGTGCGATGCGTAAGAAAACAATAAAATTCATAGAGTTGACGACACTATGTGCAAAAAGCGTCGAGTTTACTATGACCATCCGGGTCTACAAATTTGAAAACATACGTTCTCCTTGTCACGATTTCATTAGACTGTTCACTGATACTATAAACATTTGCTCTATTCACACCATGTGACGCTATTCTGTCCATGTCTCTCACATCATCATTGTAACCTTCTACAGTTATTTCTTACTAACACTTGCTTTAGTATATACTAGCTTATACACATACATGCCGCGATTCCACGTTGCGTTGCCCTTTTGCAGAACTGTTTGTCTATGCTCAAGTCGCACCAAAAAATAGCAGAAGGTAAACAACGGGTTAGCTGGCACAGATTTTAGCAGCATAGGTTCTGCACCAAGGTTAGTCTACCATGATTCAGTTAACTACAGAATTGTATAACATGCTCTCGAAGACATGTTCTTTGACTTTAATCGTCTCTAACGGGTTCTGGAGACAATATACGTAATCGAAAATTAATGGTCAGATATATCGGCTTTAGGGGCATCCATATGTTATGCTGTACCATGCATCCTGTCAATGGTCAATCTAGTATCTTAGCATCACTTGACAACACAAAGAGTGACCGACAGAATCATTATCATTGATGTGTTGCCGCCATTTAATAAGTTCCTTTTTTAGTCTCATTGTTTTGGGAAGGCAGAGACTGCGGGTGGAGTTTTATGTGATGCAGGTACGCAGAGATGTTGGGGATGATCGTCACAAGGGCTGCTACCTGCCAGCTGCAACACCATAATACAATCTGTCCACCTGACAAGTGGTCTATGTTATGAGACGTAACTATATTCGTCGGTCGAGTTGGGCATTCGTTCGATATATTGTTTATCGATTAGGCCTTCAATGCATTTCTTGATCATTGCGACATTCGGACGAAACCTATTAATGCAAGACGGAAAAACAAAAAGGATGGTCGGCTTCAGTAAAATTAGAAACGCTTTTTCAAAGTGAAATGAGCTGACTTAACATTGTCGTTGGCTGGTAGAAACGAGCACTTCACTACCCTGCGCTCTACGTTTATATAGTCAAAGTCGTTCATTATGTATTAATCCACATTATAGTGTCCGCATGATTATTGAAGAAAAAACATCTTATATAGAAAACACTAAAACATCAAAGATTTTTGAAATTATAACTGGATTTATCAACTGTGGCGTTTATAAAAGAGATTTTGGACAGCTAGAAGGACGCATGACCTAGTTGTTTTGCAGCCACAATGTATAATGTGCCTGTAACTAGAAAGGCTTCTAACCTTTCCGTAGCCTGCGTGATGACTTGTTCGATAAGTTCCGAGTGTTTAGCCATCTTTCGGACCTTCATGATCCTCACGATAAGGGCCTGCAAATACACTTTTCTATCTTCTTCTAGCGACGCAGCAGTTTGTTCCTGCTCTTGACCAGTTACCTATGAAAAACGGCATCTATTAGGTATCTCGGTTATGGGAAGATCAAATTAGCGCCCCAAAAAAAGTATGTTAGAGCCATGATGAAGGTCACACCGGTTACTTTTACGTACCTCACTAAAACGAAAATATGATTTGCCAGAATATGCGTAAAATGTTGCTCCTATTCGAAAGCCTGACTATTCAAATTACGATTATTACATAACTATCTTTTCGAATTAGTGCTGATGATACATGATTACTGCTCATAATGCTTATTCGTTACATTAATTCTTGAAAATGCTCTTTTCAATAGGTTTGAAGTATTTGAGTTATTTTGTGGTCAGTGTAGTTGTACTAAAAGGTCGGTTCAATTAATAACATTTTATTATATGCCTACCTGCTCTTTGACAGGAGCCGACATTATTTTGAACTTCGTACGCCTATGACTAAACTGAAAGTTGAGGCTAAACATTGTATTGGGGCCAAACGACACAGGACTAGGGCTCGGTGTACCACGCGAACTGCTACTACCTTCCGTGCCAGATAATTGATCCCCGGAACCGCTGCCCTCGAACAGAAGAAGCTACAGATAAATGAAGAATTGCATTTAGCTACAATGAGCAAACACCTTTGCTCAAGAGTAAATGAATGAGGTATGAGGGCAATTTATGACAAAATCTATGTTAAAATTAGGACTCATCAACATAACGCATTTAAACAATTAGATTCAAATGTAAATATTTTTAACAGTGACTTTTGCAGTTTGAGTCCTCTACGTAGAAACTCACGTGGAGGATATTACCCAGATATTTAAAATCTGATTGAACCAGGTGCTTTGCTTTAACTTGCCCACTCAAAAAAATAACTTATAATTCGGTATGCAGAACCAATTTTATTAAACTATTGTGATAACTGGTAACCCACTACTATATCTGTTTAAACTAAGGCTTTACTACTGCGCGCTAGCTAAAACGAACCTTTGCTTCAACAAGCGCTTGAAGAGCTCGAGCAAGGTAATCATCCTGTAGCTGGGTGCTGATCTTCAAGGCATCATAGCTCATGGTGTTTTCGTGTTCAAACATGAGTACCACCGCCATGGTGAAAGTCGAGCATGTCATTGTGTAGATCTAAAATATATATATATATTTTTTTTTTTGTAACATATATATATATATATATATATTACAAATTTTTATTTATATATAATCAATATTTATATATATAACAGCCCGCTAAAGTTTGCGCCAATTTAACTTCTGTACTTGTAAGTACAGGCCGTTTGTTGCGATGGGAGTACGTTCACCCATTATTGTTTGTACTTGAAGAGAATCTTTTTTTTCTTGAACAAACTAACAAACTCATAGTGGAAAATTGCAAAATTAAATTATTGTCTAATCGCTTTGCGCTGAACAAACCTCTAATTAAAGATCAACATGTATATGTTTTGCCTAAGATCGAAGGTCCTCGCTATTGCCAGTTTCATTATATGAAACTTCCGAAAATTCTTCCAAAGAGAGTTTCATAAAACAAAGCAGATGATCTTCTGTTTTTAAAGAGTTGAAAGGTTTATCAAAAAGCTATTTATTTTTGATACAATAAATAACGGCCGTTTGAGCGAAGAGAATAATTTGAATACGCTACGGAGTTTATATTTAAAGCATAAGTACTATGAAGATCGCGAATTCAACAAGAAATGGTTTGAAAATGACTAGTAAGTGGTTTAGGTCCCATACAAAAGCTGTAATCGCAGTGAACTATGGTCACATTGAATAAGCATCACCATAAGGAATGATATTTCTTATTTGGATACAGTCTTAGAAACAAAGCGGATTGAGTTGGAACTCATTTACGTGCCGCATTTGATATGAATGTAAACAAAGAAAAACATATAATTGGTTAAATCCCTTTTTGGTTGTGTAGCAACCAACGGAGGAAAAGACCAATTGTTATATAAATCGAAATACGAAGCATAATACACATAGATATAAGTACGCGCTAATTCGTGATTTACTAACGACAGACTTAGAAAAAGAAAAGAAAGTCAGAAAGTTTTAATTAACTTTCACGGGCTATTAATGCAAATTATAAATAATAGAACACCTGAGCCTCTTCTCTCGTAAACAACACAATTCTCCGCGAGTAGTTATGTTTGAATTTATATCATACCTTGCCGCCTTCAGAATAATTTAATCTCACGTCTGCATTCGAAAGGTTGTGTAGCCACGTTAATTTACGTCCATTGAATTTATCCTGTATGAAGCACATTTACATTTTACACATTACATGAATAAGTTTTGTGCCTCATATGACAAAATACACATTTGTCATAACCAAGTTTGCAAAACCAAGACCTGTAGGAGTTAATACACATAACTCCTACAGGTCTTGGTTTTACCTTTGCGCATGTGGAACGCATTTTAAAAATGTAGACATCAAACGAAGGCATTTGAAATAGGTGATCTATTAAGTATGGCTTAATACTACTGTGCTTATTTCATTCCCATATTGAGAGGTCGACTCTTGTTCCGTACGAAAATGGTTTATTATTATGGATGGACTAACGATTTTACCTTATAGAACGCCTCGAATAACGTAATACTTCTTTCTAACTGTTGTGGTGGCGCGAAAGTCGATACAGGCTGGGTGGCCATAGGCCATGCGCAGGCCTGTAACACTGATATAGAGAAAGCTAAGCCAAGACCAGTTCCCACAAGAGTGGGGTTCTCCGACAGGTACTCATTGAACTTGACATTCAGGTCAGTACTTAAAGACATATCGGTATACATTCTATGAAGCTTTGATGTGTACTCAAATCCACACGCCTGAGGAAAAACATCAACATCGGTAATTTAGAATTTTACAGGCAATACCATTGTTACATCTAGCTATAGATCTAGGATTAAAAATCATTGCTGCTAATCAATACCGTCAAATTCCTGGACTATATGTGTATATATTACACAGGGCGATGCGGTAAAATTAAGAGAGTGATCGGCCTGTCATGATTCGCTACTTTCGGAAGAAAGTCAGTTTTTTCTGGCAGAAATCTCGGCATGCCAAGTCACAATGTGGCGTTTTCGGAATTTGAAAGAAAATCATGCGGCTTCAAAAAATCCAAAGAGGACTTAAAGAACGTAAACTGGAAGATCCTAAACAGGTTTAGATTTAAAGGGCTAAATTTAATCAAAATAACTCAAAAAAGCCTTTTTAATAAATTCAGGTTTTTCTACAGAAATGAATAGTTTTAGAAAACAAAATATTAATTGTTAGTCTTGCTGATACTTCTTGCGCTTTTTAATTTTCTATTGTAAATTTTTAGATACTACATGTTCCATGCGCATTAAATAAACATGACCGCTAGGAATTATACTTGTAGCACATACAAAAAATTTCATTAAAAGATCTCTTTTTATTGAGATATGATTTTAGAAACAAAGCATAAGAAGAATTATCTGGCCGTCCATATATATATATATATATATACAGACAATGTTCGTCCTAGTTAGCCTAACCCTTTTTACCTGTTTCAGCATATTAATCATTAGTTCTTCGGAGTCCATTGATGCGCTTACTCCATGGATTAGTCGTTTAGCGAGCAACTTCGAGTAACTCTTCTGAAAGTGGTCTTTTTCGTCGAGATATTTGAAAACGATGATCGACTTTCCAAGCCGTTTCTCCAGCTCATCCTGGTCGTTAAGTGCTTTCGGGCCCTTCTTTAAAACCTGGTCACAATACCGCGCTAGTAATTCAGGAGCTATAAAGATATTAACAAGGAGAATATGTTGGAGCGGAGTCACGACGATAGATGCTGTCCACATCCCTTTTCTTCCCTATGTCTAAGAGAAATCATTCTACTGACATTACCAATAATAATAATGCGTATCATATTACTTTTTGCATCAGTTGTTGGCTATCCGATCTGTTGAATCAGTTGAACGAGGGTGTCAGTGCCCCGTATGGATAAAGAGACGTGCAGGACGTATGTTGTTGGTCGCCGCTACTACCCAAACTTCGTTGTTATGACCACGGCCACCAACACAATCATGCAGATGTTTTGTACGTGACAGCGGGTACTCTCTGCATACGGTTACGGTTGTAGCCGCTACCGTACCAGATGAGATAAGGTACTAAAACTTCGATTTTGAAAGAAACCTTTTTGACTATTAACGCGAATTGAACCTACACTAGAATTAGAGTGAAGCGGTGTTACTGCGTTCGCCAGCATTATGGTGTCACCCCTTAAGTCATGTCGAGCTTTATTCGGTCCTTTACGTTGTTCCCAAAAACCATAAAATGTGAAATGCCCATAAACACTGAACTGAGACCCAAACTGAGACAAAAACTGAGAATATTAATATCTTCTGGTGAGCATTATTAAACTTGTGGGTAGTCTTTTTATGCAAAGGACTTAAGATGTTTGGAGAAAGCTTAGAATTCAATTACTTGTGCGCCTTGTATTTGGTCAAAAGCCTGATTTGATACGGACATTTCGACGGCTTTTTTTAATAGAATACAATACAGATACACTTTTATTGATAGTCAAAGGGAGTATTAATACTAGACCCCAAGTGAAACACGCTCGTGATAAGTTTTTGTATCGCTCTAGGTTACCTGAATATGAAACATGTAACATGGAGCCAGCTTCCTTGACCACGAAATACACAAACGCTGATTACACATCGAATCTGCGATCGTTACAAGTTCAGTAACGTGCGAATCGAATTTCTCAAGTCAAATAGGGTAAAAGCTCTTCCAACAGGATCACCATTAAAAATACAGACAAAATAATAGTAGAACAATAAAATATATAAAACGTTCTTTTTAATCTTAGAAAAAATACTCATTTCTTCTGCGTTATCCTCGTGCTCCGCAAACGCGCTGATGGAAGCCCTGTGTCACAAGTTTTTTTTTATATGACTATACCAATTACCCTTAGTTTTTAATTTCCACCATTTTTCTATTTTCTATGAACATCGGATTGTTAGTAAAAAAAAAAAACTACAAAGGCGCTGTAGGTTGGCACCTAAAAAGGCAGTTCCACGGACACGGACCCTTAACGTTTAACTTCTTCCAAGTAGTTGGATTTTGTCTGTCGGCGCACTCTAAAATCAAGCAACTCGCCAACTGGCTCCTTAACCAACAGCGTTTGCGGTCATCCCAGTTGTAACATGAAAAATGCTTTTAGAAACCAAATCACATTACCTTTATAGATGACTTTTGGATGAGAAGAGTTGATAATGGAGATACACGCTCGATCGAGGGCAGCTATGAACTGTTGGTCTGAGTTGAAAACCTTTGTAATTAGATCCCGGTAATCGTCGTGTACCCTAAAAAACAAATATCGACAAATTATTGAATAACGAGAAAAAACGGGCAACTTAATAGCAGACAAGAGAAATAAATCCGTTTGGTTTTTTTATACAATTTATGCAAGGTAATCTGACGAGCAAATAGGTCAGAGGGTGTATGCCATGTCAAGATGCAAATTCTAAACATTAAATACTGTAGAATGCTCTTTTTTGAACTGTCAGTATTTAAATCTAATTCTTCATTTTCGTTTTTTGCAATAATTAATGGGCCCACAGCATTGGCAGACTCGGTAATAACACTACCAATTTTTAATAAGAGCTACAGCTTTTGAAGTGCCCTTACCACAATTGTTCGTTTAATTTAAATTTAGCGCTCGCAACAAGACCTCCTAAGAGCACACATCTTTGCTATCATTAAAGCCTCGTATTCACTTCAGACACTCAATTTTTATATATGACTCACCTTAGAACTGAATCGACAAAGGACTGCGCTACGTTGTCAGGGTCGATATCTTGCAGTAACTGTTCACCCACTTTCTCGATACGATTCTGTACCTATATCACGTCATCGGGATCACAAATGCATGTAATTACCATTAAAAGGGTTCTACTTTTATTCCTTTGTTTGAAAGAATCTCATAACATTGTTCTCTATACATAGGTAATATATTAATAAAGAAGAAAACCTTTGAATTACCTCTTTGATAAGCGGTTGCATGCAGTTGTTGTCGAGAGGTTTGAGCAAAATGTACATGTTCGACAGGTCCTTGCAGTTCAACTCAGCAACCATTGTCCGCGCCTGCGATGCATGGTCGACCAGCAGAGGTGAATGAAACTCGCACCGAAAGATATTTGCCTGACTGTCTTCTCATCTTTACGTTGCTTTTTTAAATTTAGAAGAAATGGTCATAATCTGGAATAAGTTTATAATTTACTTAAATTTGTAAGAAATGTGACTTACCTCATGGTAGATGAAATCAAGATGGTCGCCGACCATCACTCGTTCACATTCCTTAATTACGTTGCTAAATGATGATGAATCTAGGAATTTTCTCGAACGCAGTTCCTCTTGCCGTACATATTGAAGCACCTGCGAATAAAAATAGTAGCCCATGTCAATAAAGTTACAATTTAATAATTTTAACTTTCGAACGAATAATCTAATAACCAATGCTCTAAATAAAAAATAGGACACCTTTTCCATAAATGAGGAACAGTCGATGTTTCCGATGAGACCGTGAGACACCTGCGTATAGTACTTATTCGTGGTTTCTAGGTAGCTGAAAAACAGGAGCACCAAACGGAATCAAAAGAGTTTTGAACTATGGTTAGATCATTTGTTAAACGTGCTTCACACTATGTTGCACTAGTCGAACAGAAAAGAATGACTCAAGCTTGGAGAATATTTATACGACCAGCAACAATCAATTTATGCACATCTCCCAGGAAAGACACAGCCGCACATCACAATGAAGTAATTTCAAAGAACAGTTAAGTTCTATGCGAACAGCACCTCTGCCAAAAGGCTCATTCTTGAGCCTGATATTGTACATGGGATTTGGACAATGTAGATTACAACTTGCTGAATCAGCTGTTTGCGTTATTATTATTTGCTGTACCTGTCTACAAAACAAAAGCGGTCACTTCTTTATGAAACAGCAAAAGTCATGTATTTCCCTTTGAAGTGGAATTTAAAGATAGCTAAAGATAGCAGAACTCGTAAGCAGGCTGTTTGTAAGCTGATAGACAAGTTCGCCCTGCGTAGTAAAGATGCGAAATTGTATTACACATTTCTATATTTACCTTTTTTCAAATTCCCGATAGAATTCGAGCGCGCTCTTCTTCTTTCGGAAACTTTCGACGTCTACAAATGAATCGACGACACCTTTTACATAATCTGCATCAGGGTTACTCATGTTGGGCTGTTCTCGAAAAACAACACCATTGTATAAACATTAGTAGCATACTTCTTAACCACACATAAGTTTCATAGATGCTTATCTTAATACCAAGAAGCAGCTTCAATCGAATAATTATGCAAGGGAGCATGGCTAGTGATACGCCATACTAGCTATAAATTCAAAGATGACAGAATATTAGGAACATAAGACAACTGTATGGCTAGCTGCGGCTACCAAACTATTTTGCATTATCTAACATAGATGAGCTTTAATATGGGCACTCACCATTCTATCCATTTGTACCACATCGAGGATGAGCTCTACCAGATTAGTCTGAAAAAAACGAAAAATACCGCGAATAATGTTGAACATAATCATAGCCACATAAAATGCATCTATATATGGCATTTGGTGGGTCCAATAGACACAAACTGAATAATTATGTAAGAATGAACAAGAAAATGGTTGCTTCATTAATTGCTTATAACAGTATTTTTAGAAGAACTTAGCTGTATTAATTTTAAATGTGTGTCGCCTCATAGATATGAAAACACGTCAGCATAAAAATAGCTTACCTGCAGCGGTTGAAGCATTTGTTTCATCCAGATATCGAGACCGAGTTCACCGATCTCAAGGACTAGCTCATCAGCTTCGAATGCTCCATAGGCAATATCAGCATCCGATACACGCTTCTTTTTCACCCATTCATGGTTCAGGTAATGGAACAAGCGGTCCAGGTAACGAACACCTTGCACGTACTTGCCCCAATGTGAGAAGTATGCCTTAAGCATACCCATCTTCAAAGAAATAATCACCGACCGTCACTGTTATTTTTAGTCCACGTTTCTCCCTTCTCTTGCTTAATATACAATACAAACCGGCGATGTGAAAGGGTACAATAATGTTTTGTCGAAAATCGCGCTACTGTAATTAAAACATTCATTTAATGATTAGTTTAGATCATAGTTAACGTTTATCACACGCCTTATAGTTTACGTACCTGTTTGGCGTCCTCTTGGACTGCTCTGTGGAGTTTTGTAACGTGCTCAAGGAAGAACTGGTCCATCGCCGCGTAGAGCTTATCGGCAAGCGATTCAGGCGTCGCGACGCAGAGATGGTATACATGCCAATAACCCTCGTACCATGACTCGCGGGACACCGTTCCTGTAATAAGGTTACCAACGAAATCCAGACAACAGTAAAAACACAAAGTGAGATTCAACAATATACAAAAAAAATCGTCGGCCTCGTAGAACATGCAGTAACTATACCATACTTGGTTAGTCTGTCGTGTATGCTGCAGCTTCTCTATGAGATATTAGATCAAACGTTAGACATGCATTTCCTATAAAGGCTTAATTTTGCATGTGAACTTCTATTTACATGGAAACATATTTACGTTGTATAGTGAAGTCCGAAATAGGTACGAATAAGAAACCATTTTACTTACATATTTTAGCTGTACAGGGTATATTCCTTGCCGTCTGTCCAGGCTTATATAATGAGGTTACACAACAAATTCAGGGTACAAGTAGCGTGTTTGTTTTCAATTCAGAAGCTGTATTGCAATGATCTTCTTCTCATTATTATTAAGAACGTTTATTAGATTATTTAAAAATGCATTTCCAACTTACCTATCATGATATCATGGACGGTTGTGCTCAGTTCACACCAAACATCTTCAAAATTTAGTTGTTTGGGCTTCATGTCGAGAATATTCACAAAAATGGAAGAGTTACCGAAAAAGACTATAGCGGTCCCGGACGCTCGAGTTGTCTTCAGCAGCCTGAAACCAAATATTTAGTTGTTAAATGTTAAAGAAGATATAATGACGCTTCATAAGTATAAAGTTATTAATCATTCGTCAATTTTTACAGGTCACATTGGCTTCGCTAATACTAATGGACGAAATGGTTATATTAGATACAACATATTTGTGATACTTAGTAGTACCTAGAATTGCGTTGAGCTGCAATTTGAAATGCTCTGATATGTATCACTGCTTTGTGGTATGTTATTTCAATAAGTTTATTGGAAAAACCCGTTGTCTTAAAATGACCTACTGTTCAGGGCAAACGGCAGATAGCAGCCTATTTTCGAGTATCGTTATATTTATATATCGACTGTATGTAGTTGAATTTGACGGATAATCTACGGAAGCTGATCCTAAGCACCCCAGATTTCAGTTCATATAGCTCAGAATATCAACTATTGAAAAAGTGCAAAGAATGATGTCCTTCGGTTTTCGTCGAGACCGAAACAAGACAACGAGTTTGGATAGCTTGGATAACACCAGGGTAGTTTTTGTCAATGAAGCCATTCGGAATTTTGACAAACAAAAGAATACATAAATCGCGTTTCTCTGTCCTATGGCTTTTTGTGGACGATGATACAACTTCTTCAGAGCGTAGTCAAAAAATTTTATGAGAATCGTTTTAGGCAGTCTGACCTAATATTCCAAAATTCTCAAGGAAGATTTCGAATTTTGGATTTCGGTAATGAAACAACTCAAAATTGACTACTTATATAGGACTTTACCTAAACAATTGGTGCGGCTTGGTACCGCCAGCCCTCGTATCTGCCACTTAAGCCAATTCCCAATCTTAAAAGTACCAATAGGTGAGAGGAAGATTTCATGCGACAAAAGGAATTAAAAAATTAAGGACTTGTATAAGAAGATAACTTTATTCTTATTATTTTCAATTTAAGTTTGAAACATGTTAATTTAAAAAGGACGAAAATGATTTAGATCACTAATAGTAATCTTTAATAATAGTAATCTAGTTGTAGTTACCTTTGAGTCAGCCCTCATTACAACAGGATGAGAATAAGGTTCACAATGATTCCACAATCATCCATCACAATGAAACTGAACTGCCTCAAACATTTGAGCAAAACATGATTTAAAGTTAACCACATAATACACATATGAGTTCAGATATGGAATTTTCCGAAATAAAAATATCAGGTCGTCCTAATCTTGTTTTCTTTACTAAGACTGAATTCGGTACAGTCGCTCGCGTGTGTTTATACTTTGTCATTATGAAATAATAACTATGAGTGTCTTATATTAGTTCTGGAGATAAAAAGTCCCTGCCTTCTCTCTGAGATAGCACTGAATTCCAGTGACCTATTTGAAAAAGCGTGCACTTCTGGTCACAGCGGTCGGTACTTTGGTCGATACGAAGAAAAAAAATAACTTTTTAAAAAAATGCCATTAAACTATAGAAATATATTTAAGGATAGATCTTGGACTCCAAAGTCACTCATGCCTGTTTTATGCGCAAGCTTGATCGTATTTTCAGTAGTTCCTTGTTGCTGATTTACGGTGCAATTCGTAGTGCTACAACTGTAAGATATGACACGTATCTAACTACTGCAGTTTTTCACCAAAGGACGTAGAAGAGTGACTCGGAATTATTCACACCTATTGTAGTTATCGTAATGTTTTGATTTTATGACACAGTCACTGCCCGCTCGTTCGACTGCAAGCACTGAAATCCAATAGGCACGCTAGCGCATAGCGTCATTCGAGAGCCTTAAGTGCCTGCCATAGTTTTTAACCCTTACACACAACTCATAAATCGATGTAGGATTCACAAGCCACATATGGCCAATTGCACAAACGAGCGTATGTCTCCTACAATCACCAAGCCGGGAAGTTATCTCAGGTCATTTTAAATTTGGAATTTTTATGATTTGGACAATCAGAAGCTACGAGCCGCCATACTCATGTTGGTTAATATTGTAAAGATAAATCGTTTATTATCAATCAAAACGGAAATAAGCAAGCTACCAAAGTAGTACTCATTTTCTACCTCCACTGTGTGCTTCATCAAGATTTCACCTGTCTCGTTACGGCGCTACGATTCGCACGACAGGAAACAGAGGACGGTCGATCAAAAAGGAGAGTGAGTTTTAATACATAATTCTTTCCACATGAACCAATTGATGTCACGCGTTTCGTTAGCGGGTTGGAGAACGCAAACCCCCTAAATACCGAGCTCGGTAACGCCTTTTGTACGAAGCCATGCACACTTAACAATGTTTTTAACTCCTCACCAGCACGTCTTTCGGGAATGTCCCCCCGCCGGCGATGAATGAAAACGAGATTCGTTCGGTCACTTGAGTCACAAAGGCACTATTACGTTTCTGCTACACACTTCGATTTCTAGACATCCAAATAGCTCTCGAATGCGAATGGATATAGTCGCCCTCCCCCGTTTTCGTTCTAACAAAACCTAGAGCTGGTTTAAATCAATGGCGTGTTCAGCATCGCCGTTTCAGGATTAATATCGTAAAAACGAACTTGAATTTCATTGTAATTTAGTATGTTGACGGGGTTATTGGAAACGATAGCAATAGTACATGTTGTAGGCGATACGTGCTACTGAATTGGTTATCACTGATTAAAAAAAAATGCGTCACGCAAACCCGACTGCACTGATGTGCCGGCCCAAATGTCCACCAGCATTCCTAAATTGTCACTTTAATATTGGAGAAAACCAACAGCTGATAGATGAGATAAGCCTTCGTCGACACAATGATATTGTTAAAGCTATACATAGTAACAATCGGGATCAATGGCAAAATCCCGACAAAGCTGAAAACGATAGAGCCGTGTCTGTCAAACAGTTCGCGCGCGCATACAAAATGAAAGTATACTATTACAAAATATGAAGAAAACCTTTTGTAAGAAATACATGATTTATTACGAACTGTCATGCGATATATTTCATTAGCTGCATTTCGGTCTGGAGCCCTTGACATGAGCCGTGGCAAGTGTTCTCTAGGTTATCAAAAGATGAATTATCATGCAGTCAATACAAGACCGATAAAAATCAAGCAACAGATATTTAATTTGTAAAACCTGTCCGTGAGTTAAGAAAAATGAACGTTCGTAATATAGCATACCCAACTATGCGTATCTAATACCGAAACTATCTGTATCTAATAACGAAACACAATTAGCCTTAGTGAATACTTTGCTACTTCTACTATATATATATATATATATATATATATATATATATATATATATATATAGAAACTTATATATATATAAACAATGAAGAATGTGAGAACTGAACTATGAAAAGTAATGTTGCTAAGGTTTCGATACGACTGCGTAAAGGGTATCCACCTTATTGGAAACTAGTTAACAAGCTTTTACCCTGTACTTATTCAACTTATTACCCCAATTATTTTATATTGGATGTATAGCATCGCTCTAAATAGCAAACGCTCTTTTGCGATTTCTCTGAAGTAAGTGCAACAGTTAAATGGTCCTGCTCAAGATAAAACTAAACTATTTGCGTATCACGTACCTATTCATTTTTATAACGCAATCGCCGTCATATATTTTTGAGGTCCTCCAAAGGACCTTGGTGCTTCTAGTTCTTTAACGGTAGCCTTATCTGTTAAGGTAAGTTTGCTTGGATCAAGTTGAGGTTTTAGTCCGTCTAGCAATATGATACGAAAATTAGCTCCCCATCTAGAACTAAAGCATATAATCGATTTGTGGCCTGGCAAGCATGCTTCAGCATTTACGTCCGAGAATTATAACGATCAAATTAATTCAGCCTCCAATAATGCAGTCAGCTGGGAGCTTAATTCATAAGCTCTACTGTACGGTTGCAGATTTAACTTTATGGTATCAATTAAATCGAGCACGTTTTCTGTCACTTCTCGCGGTTGAATTCGGTTCTGGTCCATATGCTGGGAGGCACATTGTTGTCGGGCTATGGAATTAACGAGGTGTTCCATGACGTGTGCTTCATTAGTGAACTCATTAAATGTTATTTCATACGGTAGACTGAATTCGTCATAGGAGGCTAGAGTCTGAACATGTTGAGTCAGGTTCATAAGTCCTGCAGTATATCTGAGCACTTCTTATGGAAGAATTTCTTTGCCTGCCTGTTGAGTTTTAGCGACGTCTTTCCGCTGACAACGCGAGCTTACCCATTCTAACAAAAGTCTATAACTGATTCTTTCTGGAGTACCTCCGATGCACTCGAATTTTTGGTCCTCTGCTAAGTGTTGCAACACAATGCAAAATATCAAAGTAAACCTTCATCCTGACTAATTCGCATGGATATATGGTCAGTAATAGACGTAATGGATTTGCTCAGTCGGTCTGCGCTTTCAATCTTCGCATTTTTCGTTTATTATCATCCGTGTTACTTTGCAAAGACTCTTTCCATTGGACTGTCAGCGTGTTTTGCTTGCATCAATGTGGTCCATGATAGTACTATTGCTTTGGAATATTTTTCCAGTTAAATGCACCTCCTCCAATAATTGATCCGCTCCTGCAGGGCAGCATATAAAGTTATCATCTCCTGTTCTAATTGGTAATGGCGTTCCTTTAATGAAGACTGCATCAAGTTCTTTTTTGAATAAGATCGCTTACTGTTATAGGACTTGCATGACTTTGAGGCCACGAAGTTACCTTTGTGCACGTAATCGGTTTAATGCAGTGCTTTTTGGCATATTGAACAGAAGGCGAACAATCGTTCAAGTCGACCTTTTGAGCGGTCTCGGTCTTGCATCTTGCAGGAAATATTCTTTTCACACAGTTACAAAGCAAAATCTCTATTTGTTGCAGACTGTATCGGCGAACAGGTTTTCCTTCATTTCTGTAGGCAAATTAGCAGTGGATGTTCGTAATAGTCGTAGGACCCGTCTCTACAGAGGAAAAACGCACATGCAAATTTAGAGTATGTAAGTGTTTTGATAGCAATGCGCCAGCCTTAATTTTAATTTAGAAATCTAAAACAATATCACAGCATTATTATGCCAATTTCATGTGGTGTATATAGAAACAAGATAGATAGGCGTTTGCTTCATGTTACTAGTGGATAACTTAGGTTATATGCACCCTATAGATTGCATAGACAAAAATCATTGTTTTAGCATTGTAATTGACCTATTCCGTCGAATGCTAGAAGATGGCTTACGTCATGTAGAAGCACTGAGGCAAACCTTAATATTATTATCAACCAAAATGCTTCACCGCCTGGTTCGCAAAAACTACCATGCACGTATTTTCGATATCTATGAAAGAAAAAGCTACTTTGTAAGTATTCTAACATCCACCCTATAATGATGAACATGGTTTTAGTTTGGTGAAATATTGCTAATAGCTTGAACATTTTTTCCTAATTTTTTTATACACTTAATTAAAGGTTGATACACTCAATTTCCACCATTCCTTTCAAAAAGCCACCCCTAAAATAACGCCGATTTACACAATATTGTCACTTACCGGTGGAACAAAGTGATGCTCTCAACTTACCTATAGCTGCTTATAGTCAGCAGAAGCAGAACTTGATCAAGCTTTATTCACTAGATGTAAAAGCTTATACGGTCAGGATGGCAACAATCGTTAGATGTCATTGGCACAAAATGACAGTATAACGTGAACATCATTTGAAACGCGTGTAGTCCTTGCTTCAAAATTCAAGTAGACGCTGCTATGGGTACAATCCACCTGTTAACTATTCTGTAAGGGTTTGCCGCCAAAAAATATTTCTTCCGTAATAAAGTATATGTGACGAAAAGTCTTCGATGATGTAAAAATAGCCACTTATGTAGAGAGGCTAGAGCGCTTCGGTAACTCCTGCTTGTAGTTTTTATTAGCGACAGTAGACACCAGCAGTAATTTTATGTTGGTTGTTCTTCTACAAGAGTTAAGGCAACAAAGTCGAAGCCCCCTTATATAGGTCCGTAACATTTACGAAAACCATAGAACTCAGCTGAAATGGAAAATCCCAAGTGTACTAGTTTACTACAAGTACGCAAATTTAATCTGAACGATAGGGTGAACAGTACCTTTATCATACATAATGAGCTAACGAGTTTATCTAAAATCTTTGCCAACATAATATAATCATACAGTCTCACTGAAATGCAATTTGTTTTTAACCTAAACTATCTGTCCATCTTGATTTTGGGGCCAAATGCTTGCAATGTTACATTCGTTTTTTCTGTGAACATTTATATTAAATTATGTGTGTGAATTTGTCGAATTTTGAAGTTGATAACTTTTAAGCCAGTTGGTTTACAATAATAATAATTTTCTAGTATGTATTGAAGGTACTCTCCTTTAGTTTTAAAGCACCTGTCTCAGTGCTTTGGTAGCTTCTGGAGAGCCGTATACATATCATTTGTCTACCACGTATCTATGGTTTTTCCAAGTGAATCGATAATAAGATGCGCTTGCCAGTGGTTGACCTTTTTAAAGCATAGAAAGCCTCGCAATTACACGTGCGTAGATCGAAAGGCAAGCAAGTTTAATGCAATATTAGATAGTCGAGGAAGTAATTAACGTATGCAATGAGTCGTCAAGTCAATGCATGTCATCAAGTAAACAGATTTCATACTTTCGGTTGTCATGCCAACGGTTCATGAATCTCTCGACTAACGGCTGCATTCATTGTGTCATTTTCGACAAATATAGTAGCAGATGCCCCTGATGCCACTTGCAAATACTACCATCACCTTGCGTCCGAACTTACGTTATCGAACTCGATTTACCTCGAAGCCGACGGCAATCTCTCACCTGGGCCTTTTCCGGCTGGCGGTAGAGATTAAATTATGCATCGTCTACGCTGAGCATATAGTTCGGGCAATTTCTTTCTTAATTAAAATTCCATATATTGCATGGGGAATCATACCACACGCATTTCCAGTAGGCCTAGAATGAATTTACGGAAGACCCATTGTTTAATCAGTTTCCGCAAATCCGTTACCGTAGAAATTCCAGCTTTTTTTTTAACAAAGCCTTTGGATCCCAGACTCTGCTTTTGTTAAAAGCTTCACTCGATTGTGTTCTCGTCCTTCCTATATGGTCAATTTTCTATTGGTCTTTGATACTTTAATCTCCATTCTTGAAGCGTTTGCATCATAAGGCGTCTTTGCTAATGTCTTTAATAATTCCGATGATTGTCCGCAGAAGGTGGCCTTCGATGGACAACAACTCGAGCACTGAGCATCGCTTTTCGAGACTAAGCGGTGATCTTTGTCTGAGCTTATTTCTCCAAGAGTAATCTTAAGGAATTGTAAGTAAAAGTTTCCAGAAGACCAGGGCATTTACCAGCCATATTTTATCTATTAATAGTGCGTAGTTTAAAAATTATTTTATTTTTAATTTCGCCAGATTGACTTGTACCAAGCTAGTATATATACATATTGGAACGTCTTCTATCTGGAATTAAAACGACAATAGTCATGGCAAATCGCTTTATCACGCTTGTTTCTAAATATGACTCACAGGCTGTGGAGGGATTTATTTAAATTGGTTATCGATGGAATATTTGGAAAAACAAAGATGTGCGATCTTTTAACAGGAAGGATAGTTTACGATGTTTTGGCGTAAGCTACTGAGAAGCACCAAAGCTTCGTATATAGCTAGCAAATCATTCTGAAATAATAGGAACAATTCTTAATGAATCTGCTAATGAAGGGTAACGAAGAAAATTGACGTTTTTCTCATAAGCACAATAATAACCAAATGCAGTAGCTCGCGCAGATCTGTCAAGCAAGTAATTTTTATACCGAATTTCCTAGCTGCCGGATAAATCAGCCATTAAACAAGTATCAGTGATATATATATATA